GTATACAACAACTAGCCTAAATCTAATAACAATTATTTATGTATTAATAAGAGATGCCTTCAACGAAATTCACCAACCTTTGGAGTTCGTTAACATAATAAAAGACATTTTTTTACTTAGAAGTATCATAATATGCCATACAAAGGTAATTACCTAATGGATCGATCGTTTACTTCCAGCTACTGCTACAAATCGACTTTACTTTTGCTGTGATCAACGGAAATCTGATTTATTTTTTTTTATTTTAAAAATAAGAAAACTCAAGAGAAACGCACAACACCCTCCCCTTTCTATTAGGTTCACATTATGTAGATATTAAAATAAAAGTTAAACCCTAACTATACATACACCTATTTAATATTTAAGTATATCACCCATTTGACAAGTATTGTTTATTAAATATAATATCTATTGTATAACTCGCATAAACTTTTCGTAATACTTGTGCAACAACAAATTGTAAACTTATATAAAAGCAAAAATACTAAAAATGTCGTCAAAGGAAGCGTACAATTATTCTCGCTGTTTGCTAATTAGTTTATAATTATGATTTTATGACTAAGAAACATAATTATAAGAATAATTATCATTTAAGTCCTGAGATACATTCTATTAGGCCAGGAGATATTTTCCATATTAAAACAAATGCTCTTTAATTTGCATGAGCGGGTTGTGTGTTCTTTTATGTTTTTATACATATTTGTTTTAATTGCATGTCATGTGTGACATGTTCATCTATTCCTGGCCTTAGAATGATACTGTGTAAACAATTTTGTTTTTGAATTCCATTTAAAAGACAAACGCTTATGTATCTTAATATGTGATTCTGATTCACAAATGCTGACCAAAAATTAAACCGCTATTATTTGGTGAATTTTAAGGGAGTCTTTCCGATAAAGTTTTTATCTAGGACGCTTCGTTAAGAAGACTTCAAAAAATATTAATTTTTTAAAATAATTTAAAAACTAGTAAGTGAAATAATTTGGAATTGGGCACACGCACTTATGTAAACATTGTTTAACTTTAAAACATATCACTTACTAGTTTTTAAATTATTAAAAAAGAATTAAAAATAATTTTTTAAGTTTAACACCCTGTATTTTTTAACGAAGCGTCCTAGATACAATCTTTATAGGAAATACTCCCCATAAAATTCACCAAAGAATAAGAGGGGTCATTTTTTGTCACCGTTAGCGAATCACTCTGTATTTACTACACATAAATCTTTGGTGTTAAGTGTAACATTTTCTTTAATCTTTATGTATCTTTAATATTGCACTTTAATATGGCATAAATAGATCCGTTAATAAATCTACTTTATCACAAAATATAGTACAGCCTACACGATAGCATTCTTTTTGACTCGATATTTTTGTTTTAATGAAAACATTTAGTATAAATCTGACAGGTAAATATTTAATGCTTGTAGTCGCAATTATTATTTGGTATTTAAGAGTATTTTATGAGACAGGAGAAAACTTTATACACTCAATTCATCTAATAACAATTTTAAATTTGTTCTGTCGGTGTATTTGTTGTCACGAAATAATAGATGCTAATGTCAAATATTTTTTGTTAAATAACCCAAGGAAATCACTTTTGGCAATTACAATTTCCTAAAAACGGTTCTGAATATATTAACTGTCAATTAATACGAAAATATTAAATTATTATACGCCCCTCAGAATAATTCTGTAAGATCTATAATTTTTTTGAATTCATAGAAAGGCAATAGTTCTAGGTATATTACAGTAACTGTATTATTTTATTTTTTACTTATTTTTTCTGAATTATAGTAGAAAATTAACAATATTGCACGAATAATTTACTATTTTTCTTCCACAAATAATCTTTAATAACTAATGAAGAGGATGAAGGAAGATTAGGAAAAGGAAAAAAAATAGCAAAGACGAAATGAAGAACCTTCAAGGTGTACTGAAGGAAGATTTGGAAAAAGAAACGAAGAACATCCAGGAAGAAATGAAGAACAGTTTACAAAAAGTGAAGAATGACTAAAAATAATTTAGAAAAGGACAGAGCAATTAATAAGAACGAATAAAAACTAAGCAGAATTAAGAAATTGAGGACAATCAGGACGAAATGGACAGTTTACAGGAAAATAATAATAAGTTGGATGAAATAATTAAGGATAAACTCAAAGGCTTTGAAGAAACTGTAGAATAAATTTTTCAACTGGGAAATGAGGTGCAAGATAAAGTCCCAGTCGTGGAAATAACTGATCCGGGGAAGAGAAGGTGACAAAGCTAATAGTAACTCTACGAAGTGAGGCTATGAAGTTTAAACAATGATAGATGAAAATAAACAAAAGAATTATCAAATATTGAAGACTGCTTTATAAATGAGATGTGGCAAAGCAAATGAGGGTAGAAGATAACGTTCTGAATAAATTAACCCACTTCACTGCATCAGCACAATTAAAGTAACAATTAATAACTTTATTGATGGCCTACGAGACTCTGATAATCAGTAAAGGATTGAGGTTAGCTAGGCATTATAATATTTCCGAAGCTTCGGCCACAGGCAGATGTGCTTGTACGAGTTATTATATAACTTTTAGAAATTATAGGATCATACTGATCAATTCTTTTAGGAATTGCCTTAACACATCCAGCTAGGACCAGAGGAAGCTTGAGAAGAGAACTAGTTATGGACTGCAACTGTGACTGGTTTAGACAGCCGAAAGAAATATTTGGAAATTGCCCAACTTTCCAAAAAGATGGAGGTAACCTCAAATGTAATGAAATATAAGGAAGCTCAGTAGGCCAAGCAAAAAGACGAACTACCTAAAAACTTGAAATTTGATTGTAACTTTTCCTGAATCTGCAATCAATTCTGAATAAAAAATGTGCTATTGTTTCATAGCTAAAAAATGAACCGTTTTCGAGTAAATTGGGTCATAAGTATCGATTGCATTAATTCGTAGAAAAATGCATGTAAAGATTTTATTTGTTGTTATCTAGTAGGTACCTGTCATTATAAAAAACAAAGTTGTTTACCGTTGAGGTACAGTTTCCTATGTTACACAAAGCTAAGGGATCGTCATCTAGTACGCCATCAACAATATTTTCTAAGAAATCTGTGTATCTCTCTGAATTCAAACAGACATTTATGGAGAATCGTATCACATGCGGATTTTCAATGGACCTGACACAGTGATGTAAAATGACCGTCATTTAAACTCGTGACCAGGTCATGACGGTCATTACACGTCATAAATAGTTTCAGTTAGGAAAAATAATAGTACTTAAATGTAATTTAATGTCATTTTTCTAAAATATAAATTCCTGAATCTCAATATTGCCTTAATAAATTCATCAACAAAACTATATTAAAATTAAAAAAGTTTTTAACTACAAAACAAACAACACAAAAAACACATGTTCTTTGGCTATAGATGACAAGTATAAAGTAATAAAACAAAAAAATCTTACCATTGGTTAAGTTTTAAGGACACCACGTCACCAGGTGGAACATAAACCTACTTCTTACCGCATTGATAATGAATATTTAATACATATTAATTCAATATTAACATTAATAAAATCATCAAAAGTATCTATAAAGTGATTTTATTTTATTGTAATAAATAATAATAATAATAATTTAAATATTTAAGAAACAAAACCTATCATGACGCGGTCGACCGCGTCATGACGTTTAAATGACGGTCATTTTACATCACAGACCAGACATAATTTTCATGCCTGGTTATCTCATTTCTCGTAAAGATAGCTTCATCGCTCCACAATATCTTTTGATGGAAATTTTCGTCATTATCGACATTTTCTAACAACCACCGCAGAATTGTACCCTTTTTTCGGAATCACCAGAATGCAAACCTTGTATTTTATGAATTTAGGTGGTATGGGTGCATACTTGCGATGATATTCTGCGGATACTGGTGGAAGAATCATCAACAACAGCAGTTATTACATTTTCTTTTAAAATGTTTGCGTTTTCAAAATGACCTCTTATTTTGATATTTCCAATTCCGGTCGCACGGACTCATTTTGGAAAACTCGTTGGAACACGTACCATGAAGGTTACCTTCTGTTTGGAAACCTGCGTAGATATTCTCGTGAGGCCGCCAATGAATTTCCATCACAGAAACCGTAGACAAATATCATATTGGCATATTCGTTGTTCGAAAATTCCGTAATACTTAATATCTTTTTGTTTTTAAACTTCGAGTACTGTAATTAGTTTTGACTCTTGTAAACAATTTTTTCTAATACCTACTAGATAACAACAAAAATTTTACATGCATTTTTCTATGAATTAATGTAGTCGATACTTTAGACCCAATTTTAGTCTACACCCTGGTAAATTTTTGTACGCTCACACTGGGACACCCTGTATAAAACCAAGAGTTCTATAATCTATATTTGTATGAATTTTTTTAATGTCTTTTAGAGAATCACCTGCGTAAAGTCTGGAATACTGCCCCACTCTCACCACGATAGTTACCTCTTAATCGAAATTAAATAAATTATAGTTATCTACATTAAATAGGCATAATATAATTAATAAAAAATGACTTAATTGATGTGACTTTTCCAATAATTTTAACTATATTAATTACACTTACAAAATCTGTCCAAAAAAAATAAAAGATAAATGATGTAAACAGTTTGCTTAAAAATATTTTGTGTATACTTATAAGTGCGGTAGCATTTATTTACTTAAAATATATTTTATAAATTACATAGAATTATTAACAAATAGATGCGATCAACATTTTACTTTTAAAAATTGTCTTCTAAGATAAAAAATTTGATGAAATGCATCTTTAAAAAGGGGAAGCGTTTATTTTAAAACTAGCACAATAGATTTGCATTATCCTTTCATTTGTATCTAATAAATATTTCGGCTTTTTTTTACTAAAGTGTTTATTGGGTTCGTTAACATTTTTCTTGAGCATTTCTGAGGACAACATTCCATATTCTAATCGAATCGTAAATAATAAAAAGACATCTCTTTCAATAATCGTCGACTACTTCCATATGGAAGCAGGCAGGATCGGCGTTCATTCGGGGCCCCTCATCATCGTCTGAATCTAAATCGTGATATGCCCCGATATCGTCGTCCTCGTTGAGCTGTAAAAATGTGGAAAATTAATGCCACACGAAAACCTATTTATTATTTAACGAAAAGTCAACACTAAGTCCGGCGAGTAAATCGTACATAACGAAAAACTAGGAGCGGATTCCTCTTTTGATACAAGAAACAATACATTATACAGGGTAGCCCATCGAAAACGTACCGCAAGGCATTACAGGGTAGTAAAGAATTTTTCGGCAAAATCCAAAAACAGGTCAAGTTTGTTTCTGAGGGGGACAACTTTTGGCTCAAAGAGCATACCAAAATCTTCAACCCCCTAAGTGGGGGTGCTATCCTCTAAATTTTTTCAAATGGGAATGGGGGTCAAGTGGGGGGTCATTAGAAAGGGCTTTTAATTCTCTATACATCGATTCTTACTTTTTGAAAATCGATTCATTATTTTAGAAAATATGCAGCTTTGAAAATACGAACAATATTTTTGACGAGAAATGCGAAAATCGATTTAATTTTACTTCAAAACTTACGGTATTAGTCAAGTAAATGCTGAAAATGTTGTCCGCCAACTTGCATACAATGATACAGGTTGTCTTCAAACCGTTGTCGAACATTCTGGAGCACTTGCGGTGTTACTTCGCGACATACATTAATGATTCGTCCTCGCAGATCTTCCAAGGTATCAGGTGGAGTGCTGTAAACTTTGCTTTTAATGTGCCCCCAGAGAAAGAAATCTAAAGGATTTAAGTCGGGTGACCGAGGGGGCCACTCAATTGCACCTCTTCGTCCTATCCAGCGTCCTGGAAACGTCTCATTTAGGTAATTGCGCACATTGAGCGAGTAATGTGGAGGAGCTCCGTCTTGCTGGAAAATCAGTTCGTGTTCATTGTAAGCAGGGTCGTCCTCTATGATATTTGTTAGAGCTGGGTCGATGACATTTTGTAGTAAATCCAAGTACATATCGCCTGTCAAATTTCCAGGAAGGAAAAAAGGACCTACAATGGAATTTCCAAAAATACCTGCCCATACATTCAACTTCTGGGGGTGTTGGGAGTGTGTCTCATGGAAAATCCTTGGATTGGTATCAGCCCAGTAACGACAATTATGGCGATTCACTAAACCATTCAAGAAGAACGTACACTCGTCCGAAAAACACACATTAAAGAGGAAATTATCGTTTATCGCTCGTTCAGTCATTATTTCGCAAAATTGCAAACGACGATCAAAATCGTCTTCATTTAGCTCTTGCACTAGCCGAATCTTATAAGGATGGAATTTGTATTTTTTTAATATTCGTTGGACACTTGTACGACTCACTCCTGTCGCAGTAGCCAATTGCATTGTACTCAGCGTACTATCCATTGCCACTTGCCCCAATACCGCTATTTCCGTAGGTTCATTTAGTACCGGATTTTCAACCTGCCTCTTTTTGTTATGAACGGAGCCAGTTTCGCGAAATTTGGCCACCAATTCGCGAACAATTTTTCCAGACGCATGTTTCTCAGGATGCCGTTGGTTGAACAGTTCGGCGACCCGATTTCCGCATTCATTGTTTTTGAAAAAAAGCTCAATAATTTCTACTCTTTCTGGAATTGAGTACACCATAATTAATCAATTTAAAAGACTCGGCAGTATTGGTACTCTTCAACTACAAGTCACAAGACAGTTATCTAGCAACTTCTTGTGGCCTATCTAAATACGAAACAAAAAGCGGACAATTTTTTGCTCACCAAAATCAGGCTAAAGAATTCGCAAATCAGAAAAAAAAAAGCGAATTCTTTTGAAGGAATTTACCAAGCTAATACCGTAAGTTTTGAAGTAAAATTAAATCGATTTTCGCATTTCTCGTCAAAAATATTGTTCGTATTTTCAAAGCTGCATATTTTCTAAAATAATGGATCGATTTTCAAAAAGTAAGAATCGATGTATAGAGAATTAAAAGCCCTTTCTAATGACCCCCCACTTGACCCCCATTCCCATTTAAAAAAATTAGGGGGACGGCACCCCCACTTAGGGGGTTGAAGATTTTGCTTTGCTTTTTGCGCCAAAAGTTGTCCCCCTCAGAAGCAAACTTTAGTTTTTGGATTTTGCCGAAAAGTTCATTACTACCATGTAATGCCTTGCGGTACGTTTTCGATGGGATACCCTGTATATCTGTTACCTTTTACCTGACGAATAAATATTTCTGTGAACAAAACTAATCATTTTTAGAGTAAAAGAAAATTAGCAGTAACTGTCCTAAATGTTCAGATTATCCAATTATTTTTTATTTTCCCTGTTACCTCATAGGGTGTACTTAGTTTGTAGAATGAAAAATATCATTTAAGTGCTGATTATTATATTTTCGATAAATAATATTTTCATATACAGCTCTGCTAAAATTAAGATCAAGGATGATTTTATAAAATGTCGGTTTACTCCGCAACGGTGCCCATTATGAAGAAAACGTAAGAATGTTTTTTGGCAGAACAATGCACAGACAATTCAAATTACTCATTATTTTGAAGATCAGTCATTGGCGTAACACATACTTTTTATAAAAGGCATCGGCATGTGCGGAATGCATGCCACTGGCTCTTTCTGCCGAGCTGAGATTTTGTGTATTAGTACTAGTGCACTGTGGCATTCACCACATAAAATTTGAGAATAATTGGTTCGTAACTCTAAGAGATATTAACAATAATGGAAAAAAAATCAACTTCAATTTCGGAAAGGGTTCAGATTTCGAAGTAAGTTTATATAGCAAAGTTCCTTTAATTTTATCGCAACTACCTTTTCCTGAATTTTTTCAGAATAAAAATGGACACCCTGTATACATAATTAATAGAATTTATAAAATTATAACACATTTTGTGGAAATACTAATCCTAACAAGCAAAACTGCAATGCAGTCTAATGTAATAGTCGTATTATTAAAACTATGTTGATAAAGTAGATTCCTCCTTTTAATAAGTTAATAAGGTTATACTAAGTAGTACAGAATTTATCCTAAAATTGAGATTGTTTAATAAATGGCGACATACAATAAAAACTACCAAAGCGTACGCATATGGGCATTCTTTATACGCGTCTACCGTACATGTTTTACGTTTCTTATCAGCCATAGTAACATGACTAAAGGAAAATCATTTGATTAGTTTGGTATCATCATCATAGATGTGATCAGATTATAGTCACATAACAAGAAGAGGATATTACAATAAAGAAAAATATCAGTCCACCTCATTAAAGTAGATAAGTTACTCTTGTCGGAAAAATATTTTAAGCAGATCAGGTTTGGTCCGACATCCAGATTTACATGTTCTATCTACGTTTCAATTGTACTTCAACTTTGTTTTTAAAGAGTCGGCAAAAACTAGGTCATTTTTTACTTTAAGGTTTGTTGATTTTAAATTAAACATGTTTGCAAACTAATACATTTTTTAGAATGTATTATGAAAACAAAGTACGAACCTGGAATGTACGATTAACTCGCGGACCTTAGTCACCACATTTTGTTTATACTGTTGGTGACATGTAAAAACCAAAACCATTGTAACATGCATATTCTAAGAGATACCCTTCTAGGAATGTTTATGAATGAATTATTTTTATTTGCTCAACTGTCTAAAATATAAAATATTTAATCAATTCCCTACTCTTTTCCTATTCTTAAGGCCTTTCTCACACAAGCCGGATGATAGATCCATGGGGAAGTTTGTTATGTGTGAAAGCTTGCGACTATAAGACTTTTCATCAGAATTACTTACTATACAATCAGTGCCTAATTTACAGTGGCGGGGGCCTGTAGGCTGAAAATTGGTGGGGGCTTATTCTAGAAAAAAAAATATCCTTTTTGGTAGCCCTCCCCAAAAATTGGATATAATTCAAATTTTAAGAATAAAAAATTATATTTTTCAGAATAATTTTTCTTTCTTGTTCATAATGGGGAGGTCTTAAAAAAATCTTAAAAAAGAATTAGTTTTCATAAAAAAATTTTTTGTTAACATGGTGCGGGCCCCTAGTTGGTGGGGGCCTCTAGTTGGTGGGTGCCTGTAGGTTGCAGCCTATACCAGCCTATAGGTAAATCAGGCACTGTATACAATATGTATATTGATCGAAACGTTCTAAAAAACCTCTATGGCGTCGTTTAATTGATGTCATGTGTAAATTACATATTTTTATTTTATATTAGGTGCAACAAAATGTGCACTTATGTCTTCTAACTTAAAATGCAACTTTTTTTACAAGATTTTTATTTGATTTCCATTTCAAAAATTAAGCTTTAATAACTTCAATCCATCGGCCAATCTTTACACTAAACTTTTTTTGCTGGAATGCTTATTGTTTTAATAATACATGCTGAACTTTTCGCTTCATCCGAGTGTGTAAAATTGACAACTCAAACTTTAATGGAAATAAGAAAAAAAATAAGGAGTACCTATTATACTCTTGTACACATAAAAAATAAAAAATGTAAGTAATTATTACTAGTTTAAGAAATTTCAATATTCTATTTTTCATTATCTAATGTTAATGTCTCCTAAGCATCGTTGTACTGATATTTAACTTTTTTTATACTTACAAAAAAGTAATGAAATTTAATAATTACAATTTTTTTGCAGCCTAAGGATAATGTTAGAAATAGTGCTATTAGTAAATATAGTATAGACGTAAGTATAACTTAAAAAGTGAAACAGAGTATTGAAAAAAAAAACATTTATTGCAACTAAGTATAGGTTTTATTATGCAAGGTAGGTATGTACTCAGGTTTCTTAATTCTGTTTTAGCATATAGGTAAGTAAATTCATTGGTTTTACCTTCATTTGCAGGCAAGCTTGATTTTGAATATTTAGGTATATTTTTTTATCGTCAGTTTCACACACTCTATTATTATAAGTAGGTACTTATATCTAATTCTAATTCAGAACAAATTATCATGAGAAAATGTATTTAGTTTTTTATAGCTCATTTTTGCATGAAAATTTGTTCCAATATCTTAAGATACTATTGTCATGCGCATCACAAAGCAAATATATATTACCCATTCATTTTATTTGTA